CGTTCCTAGGCTAAAATAGACTTTTGAGGGGGGAGGGGGGGGCCTTAAAACAACATATGATCGATATTATTTTAAAAAAATTTTCTTTTTATATTTTGTGTTTATTCAGGGATGTCACCACCACAGGGTGCAGTCAGCCAACAGTCACATTTCCATTCGAGTGTTTGAAATTACAAAAGTGATAGAAAATTGTTTCTGCAATCGACGAATTAACGAACATTTTACAAGTTATGGGTGACATAGTCCCCATTTTTCTTTCACCGTTTATATATAAAGTAAATTTGGATGATTTAAAATCTTGTTAAATTGTATTTTTTTTGGTCTGAATGATATTCACTAATTCCAATTTGCATTCATTGTGAGAACAAAACTTGATTACTTGAACGATAGAACTACTCGTAAATAAGGGAAAAGATATATTTTTATCATGACAGTGAAAAAATTTCAGATTTTCAAATCTTCGACTTTGAAACCTGAAAAAGGTGAAATTTCGTAACGAACAGTGTTTTTAGTTTTTTTTTATTCCATGAAATCATAGCTGTTAGTAAACAGCGTGATATTATAATAGCTTGTAGTGTACGTAAGATAGTTATTTATATGTCACTTCAACTCGTAGTAAAATGCTCAACTTTCATATCACCCTCAAAAAAGATTTCATTTTTTTGAAATTTCGTAACGGTCATTATTTTTGGAATAATTTAGCTCTGGCTAAGAAAAAAGTCGTTGAGCAGATATAGATGTGACAATGTGAAAGAAAAAGAAAATTCTACAATATTTGGCCATATGCCTTAATTATTTTTTCTTAATATTAAAAAATTAGTAATTATATCAAATCTTTTTTTAACAGGGTGGCCCATAAGTCAGGTAACAAAGTATTTTCAAGATTTCTCCTCTATTATCTCTGTGATTAAAACACTTTTATTATGAAAAGATAGCGCTTGAAATTCTCTTCAAAACCATAATTGACTAAGCCCAAAAACTGTTTTAAATATATTTAAAAAAAGATGAAAAGTAAAGACATACACAAAGTTGTAAAAAGTAGCGGGTTGAGCATAATGAATGACCACGCTTTGCATCCCATTTTTTTATCAATCACTTCGCTCTATTAAGAAAACAAAAGATATCAAAAGATGCGGTATGAAAAGCTCCACAATTTACATAAGATCCCTTATTTTATAATTTCACTTTTTGTGTTCAAAATGAATAAAACTTTGAGCGAAGAAATTTCGACCTTGCGAAAACGATATCTTTTTTTGGTACAAGATGGATTGATTCTTTCTATTTCATCTTTTTATAATTGTTCTTCGTAAATTGTAGAGGTTTTCACGCTGCATCTTATTGTGCATTTTATTTTTTTAAATAAAACTTATTAGATAATATCAGGACGAAATTAGAAAAAATGAATTCATCATGTACCAAAAAATATATCATTTTCTCATGGACGAAATTTCATCGCTAAAAATTTTGTCCATTTCGAAAACAAAAATGCAACTATAAAATAAGCTGTCTTATGTAAATTGTAGCGCTTTTCATGCTGCATCTTTTGTTCTTTAAAAGAGTAGAGGGATTAACAAATGGGAAGCAAAGCGCGGCCATTCATTATACTCAACCCGTTACTGTATGCATCTTTAACTATGCCTTTACTCTTCATCTTTTTTTAAACATATTTAAAACAGTGTTTGGACTTAGTCACATAAGGTTTTGTAGAGAATTTCAAGCACTATCTTTTCATAGTAAAAGTGTTTTAATCCCAGAGATAATAGAGGAGAAATCTTAAAAATACTTTGTTTCGTTACTTATGGACCACCCTGAATACTACATAGGTATAAAAGCAATATAAGTCGAATTGATCTGAAAGTTCTTTTTACTTCTCGTTCGTATAAATTCCAAAATTGATCTAATAATATTTCGACTTCTTCTTTTAAACGATGATCATTTATTTCTAATGTTTCTCGTAATGATATTTCAGCCCAACTAAGTAAAAATCGAGTCATCTTTTACAAATGCATCCAATGTTAATTCTTCTTGTTGACATTGAGTAAATGCATCTTTTCTATTATCATACAATTCAGGCTTGATTAATTTTAATGAAAACTTTTTAAATAAATCATATTTAATGTATTCTTCATATGTAAGGCAATACAATGGATAGATATAATCAAGTAATTCTTGTTCTGTAATCGATAATGAAGGGTGTAGCTGGATGTGGGTGTCGGCGTGTGTATGACTAAAGACAGCAATGGCACCCACACCCACAGCCTTGCCGAGCTAACCTACACTTGCAACAAACTTTCCTGTGCTTCACGAACATTGGCTAATGTTATCGTTCAAATAATTGAAGGTCAGTATATCTTACCCGTGAATGTCACCATTTCACCAATAACTACGACTATATGAACATCTACAACATCATTAACATCAAGAACAATGACAACCTTAGTCACATTTTCGACAACAACTGAAGGGAAGAGCGCAGCTACATTAGTTTATGTGAATTATAGTAAAACAATTATTTTTGCATTTATTTTTCTTCTTGTAGCTTGTCTATTTTAATTTAATTATATCTATTGAAACTTGAATTCGACATGAACTTTCATATTATTTTTATTTTCTCTGCAGATACTTCACCTTACGAAAGCTAGATTAGATTCCCATCACATCTAGCTTAATGGTATGAGTGTGAAAGAAGAACTATATCCACTCCCACATCCTTTTTTTGTATGGAAGTCGATCATTTTGTAGAAAAATATCTTTTTTTACCATTGCTCAAAAGGCTTCGAAATTTTCTATCAGATGATTTCTAAAAATAAAAAAGAATCCAATGCATTGCTACAGACATTTACCTAGAGTAATTAATTACTTCAAAATATTTTCTAATTAAATGTTCATGTGTCTACAAATGATTCAACTATCTGTTTAAATGTTCTAAGCAAGAATATGCCGTATCGATACCAAATAAGAAAATTTGATAAGTATTTTCACTCAGATAATAATATGCTACTAAAATTTAAAACTTAACATCAATATACCTTGTTTATTTGAGATAAGAAATATGTTGCACACTGATAAACTGATTGTTTGAAGTAAACATACATATTCACATACCTAATAATATGAGAAAGATGTAAATTATGTCTCTTGTTTTTTCTTATGTTTTCTTACCGCTTAACTTATCTTTTCTTTTATTTCTAATAGTTAATACATCAAACTTAACGTTGAATGGATTAGAGACAAACTACTATCAGTTCATCGAACTGAATCGAAGAAGACGAACGACGATCAATATACAACTCATTTCCAGAGTAACAATATAAACATATTATAATTAGTAAATAAATCTACACATCGAATAGGCGAAACCAATATAATCAATGTTAAAGAAAGAGGAACCAGAGCCTTTGTTAGATAAAAATCAAATAGAACCCTCTTCATCAAGGATCCTTTTATGTTCAAATGTACCGGCACGCTATACCATTGCTATCTGGGCTTTCTTTGGTTTCTTTTGTTTATATTCAATGCGAGTTAATTTGTCTGTAGCTATTGTCGCTATGGTTAGTAAATCGACTATATGAGATACAGAATTTTTAAATAGTTCTTTTAGGTCGCACGACAAAGTGCATTAAATAAATCAATTGAAGCTTGTCCAATAACGGAAAAAGATTCGATAAAATCTTCCCTAGTCAGTGTTCTACTGTTTTGTTCTAGCTATGATGTACATCAATCTTTTTCAATTAATAGAAATATGAATTTGATTGGGATCCATCTAAAGCAGGATTAATTTTAGGAGCATTTTTCTATGGTTATATTACTACTCAAGTGTAAGTCAAATTTGAAATATGTTGTTCTTATTGGTTTATTTGACATCTTTTCTAGAATTGGAGGTAAACAAATTTACAGATGAATTTGTGTATAAAAACGTGTCGTTGATAGGAAATTTAGCAAAGAAATTTGGTGCAAAATGGATATTTGGTGGAGGAATATTAATATCTAGCATTTTGACGCCTTTAACACCACTCGCAGCTCGTATTCATTATAAACTTCTTATTGCTATTAGAGTAATAATGGGTATGGTTTCTGGTCCAGTATTTCCATCAGCAGCAGCTCTCTGGGGCAAATGGGTAACGAATTTATCGATTTCAAATGTTTATCTTATTTGTTTTCTTTAAAAAGATACCTGCATCAGAACGTAGTACTGTTCCATCGGCAGCTCATACTGGTATTAGCATGGGTATAATATTTACTACACCATTAGTTAGTATAATAGCTGAAAAGGGATTTACTGGTGGATGGCCATCAGCATTTTATGTTTCCGGTATGATAAGGATAAGAAATGAAATAATTATTTTTCTATAATAAGGTATTATATCATGTGTATGGTTTATTGGTTGGTGTTTTTTTTTGTTTTAATTCTCCAAATGAACATCCACGTATTTCAGAAAAAGAACGTATGTTTCTTTGTAACCATATACCACTAAATCCTCTGAAAGTATATAAAGAAAAACAACAAAGCTTATCATCATCGTTGTATATATTTTCCTGTTTTTTTTCCGAAGCATCGAGCAACACCGTGGAATAAAATTGCTTGTTGTCCGCCTCTCTATGGTATTGCTATAATGCATCTTTGTTATAATTTTATTTATGATACTTTATTAACAACATTACCTACTTATTTTGCTACGATACTTAATTTTAATTTACAACAGGTTTAACATTTTTTTTATTTATTTTTTGTTGAATTCAAGTTATATTTATTTCTATTAAGAATGGTTTTATTTTTGCTTTACCTTATTTTGTACAATTTTTAATAACAATTATTGTTGGCCCATTAATTGATCGTCTAAGAGTACGTAAAACGTTTTCTATTACAGCGCTTCGAAAAACACAAACGATTATTGGTAAAAAAAAAAGAAAACAATTTTTCAATAACTGAAAACATTTGTTTTTTATGTTCTAGGTACTATTGGTACATGTGGGTTATTAATATCTATTGGTTATATGGGATGTAATCAATTTCCTGCAGTTCTGTGTTGTATTCTTGCTGTTGGTTTTCTTGTTTTACAAACATGTGGCGCACTTATTATTTCACATCTTGATATTGCATCAAATTATGCTGGTAAGAATAAATATAATCAATTGAATATAGAAGAAATCTTATAATTAGGAACACTTGTTGGTATTACGAATACATTGGCAACAATGCCCGGCTTTGTTGGTCCATATGTTGTAGGAACTATTACAAACAATAATGTAAGATTTTTTTCTCGTATCTACGATAAATATCAATGGAATTTTTGTTTATAGCAAACACTTAAAGCATGGCGTCTTATATTTAATATTTCAGCAGGTATTGGTGCTTTTGGTTGTCTTGCTTATTGTATTTTATTCGATGGCGAAGAACAACCATGGAATCGAATAGAACATGAAAATGATACAATTGAATCAACTAATATTTGAAGAAAATAAAAGATTCTCTGATTTTTTTTCTAATCTGTTATAATATTCAAAGCAATAGTTTCTTCGTTCAATTTTCATCTCAAACATAAATAATACACGTTGAATAAATCAAGAATCTATCGGTCCATCAAATCAATGAGATTTCATTTTGCTTATTCAATGATCAGACAGTTAACGTTATTTCCATCAATTATATATAACTGTTAGATTACAATAAATTTCAAACGGTACACTTGTTAAGGATCATCAGAACACCGACTGCGTGTGTGAGTGGGTGTGGGTGGGTACGCGCATCGGGATGGGTTCGGGTGGGTGGTGTGGGTGTGGGTAAGAATAAATATTAGGTGTACACCTACTCACACAGACATTCACACTCACACCCACACCCTCGGTCTGTGTAGGTCAAGTTCGATCTATATTATATTACTTAATTTCGCGGTGACGCACTCGTTAAGATATTTCCTTTGAATGTGTTGTACACTTCAACGAATGTCCGAAATTTTGCTTTTTGATGCAGTTATTTTATTAACGTTTTTAAGTGTTTGTGTTTCCACTCGTTTTAAGGATGTTAAAGTGAAAAATTTATCAACTGTTAAAATGCGAAAAATTTGGACATTTATCGAAATGTACAATGCGTTAAAAGAAAAACGAAAATCGTCCGTTACAACGCGTTATTTTGTTATTTTTGGCTGCTGGGAAGAGAGAAACAACATTCTTTGCTGCTTTTTTATTTTTGATTCATTCGCTTATTTGTTTTTTGAAAGGAAGGAAGAATAATAAAGGAACCAGAAAAAGGAACTAACAATGCGTTTTGAATGTGGGCATACAGGATAAACTACAATTTATTCAATGAATATATGATGATGACAAAAACAAAAAAAGAAAACAAAAGGTTATTTATAGAACACAACTGGCAAAACATAGTTTTGTCATACATGCACATAATCCAATTATACAATAGAAAATAAGACCAATAATCCATTGGTAGTATACAAACATATTGTGTCGAACGAATAAACAATATATGCATCCAATACCAGCTATGATGTAACCCACTGGATGAATAAGTAAAAGTAGAAGACAATTATCTGGGTAATTAATCGTATCACGAATCTAAAATCAATCAGTTTATTATCTAAATTTTAAATAAATTTCTAATAATTCGATTAATCCTCCATTTTTGATATACGTAGGTAGACTCACCTTATCGACAAAAATTAATTGCCATTTTTCAGAAAATATATATGTAATTAATGTAAATATCCAAACAAAAATATAACCGAATAGATAGACAGATGTTCGATCATATTTTCTGAAAACTATCGGACAGAACTCGCTGATTTGTTGAATTGTAAAAGGTTGAAATATGCTGAAGAAAATCGTTGTTTTTATAAGAACATCCGAAAATAAATAAGTCCAAATACAAATGAAAATATTGACTAGATGATTGATCAAGATGAAAGATATAATAATTGATAAAAATGAACGTTGATTTAACATGTAATTAAACCAATTCCAAATATATTCTCGTTTTTCTGATTGATCATTTATTCGAATAATTTCTTTCGACTAACAAAAATAATTAAAATAATTTTTTTTTACATATTCGATATACTTACTTCTTTTTTGATCCACATATGAAGACAAAAATCATCTGAATGATATGTAAATGTCGACATAAGTGATGATCGAATACGATCAATGATTGATTCAGGTTTTAATATATAATATTTTCTTTCATCATTGGACAAAAACTTCAAAATAAATGAAACACTTGATAAATATTTAAAACTATTAATTAATTGAATTATATTATTTATTTGTCCAATTGATACATTTAATCGTTCAATATATGGGAAAAGGTGACAAAGCTGATGAATAGTATATGAATCACCAATAATATGATATTCCGATATTGTTAATGTACGAATTTGTTCAAATCGTAGATCTTTTATTTTTTCGATAAAATCCGCAAAATTTCTTCCAGAATTTTCAAAATATTCATAGTTTATCTCTGTCATTAACTAAAATAAAATAATCGATTATTTATTTAGAAAATAACTTAAATCTTACAGTATCAATTGATAAATGTTGAAGATAAGGCATATTATTAATAAGATATTTGATTTTTGACTTATTTATCGATGAATTTAATGTTAAATTTTTCACTCCAATTAGATTAACAATAGTCGAAAGAATTTCTACTGAAATATATTTATATCCAATCTCTAATGTAGTAATATTTATAAAACGATGAGAAGTTTTAATTAAATGGAAATTTAATGTTAACTTTCTAACATGATCATAGAAGATTGTATTTTCTAAAATATTTGTATATTTTGGTGGTTGAAAGAATTCATTAACATGTTTATACATAGAACAAGGTATTGTAAAAAGATGATTATTATCATAAGCTACAAACCATTGTTTGTCATTCAACCAAAATGAAGTTCGAAATGTATCAAGAATTTCTTCGATTGAATCAACTTCGATATTGAAAATAAATTTTAATGTAATTAAATCTTTTGCAACTATTTTCCACCGATGTCCATTAACAACATCAGCATAACACTTTGTGTGTAATTCGAGATGTTTTAAATGAGAAAAATTGTTTAGAAATTTTTCTATTTCATCCATTGATACATGAAAACCTATAGATTAAAACAAAAGAATTGGTTAATTGTCAAGTTTCTTTTCATTCAAACAATACTAACCAACAATTTGTAGAACAAGTCGAGTTAGATAATCAAGTTGACATTGAAATTCAAATTTCGATGTTCGATGTATGACAGTAACATTTAATGTTTTAAGTTGTGGTGTTGTGAAACAAATATTTTTTAATTGATCAAGTGAATATTGTGAAAGTTTCAAGTAGCGAAGATTAACAAGTGGTAGAGATAGTGGAATAGTTATTTCAGAGTTCAAGAACAATGAACGAAGATAATGAAGTTTATTTAAATGTAGATTAATTATTTCTAATGATTTCTTTTCTATTTGAATTAATATTAAAGTTTGAAGATTAATAAATTGATTGATTTGAAAATGAGATAAAAAAAGTTCAGATTGACCAGATGTATCTTTTTCATCAGACAATATTAATATTTTAACTTGATCAGGTGATATATATTGACAAATAAGATCGAAATTAGATCGAAGAATTGATTTGAAATTAAGTCGATGATTGGGATATAATCTTATTACTTTATTTAGATACGGACTAATGTTCAACAATGAGAATAAGATCTCTTCAACTAGCAAATATGTAAATAGACTATGTAAAATTACGACAGGTAATTGATCAAGTAGAGAATGATTCATAATATAATAATCTAAAAATGTAGATTCTACAATAGAAAAATTAATTAACTGTAGGACAGTATTAATCACAGAGAGAATATATGGATAGCTTTCTGCAATATTATGATTCTTCAATGAAAACAAATTTCGAAACGCATTTCTCTCAGAAATTCCCTCCAACATCATGAATGTTCATTTATGAATATTAAAAGATTACTTGAGTAACAGTTCAGTCAGATCTTAATGTCTCAACCAATTGACAATAATGTGTAACGAAATTTAGATCCTCAGTATAGATATTGTCCACACTACTTCATCACTCCAGTTGTGTCCATTTCACATTGGATACAAGCTTATATAGGAGAAAGAGAGAACAGCAGATATACCAAGAAGAGACGAGAAGAAAGGCAAACATGGTGATGCATTGGTCACCACACATATAAGTGGGCAAAAAATGCGCGTGCTTCAATTATGGGCAAACTATGGACTTGATGTGCATTTAAGCAGATATATACATATGTCAATTCTATCTTGATTGCATGTTCAGTAAAACGAAAAATATATGCTCACATTCTAAGACTTGCTATTGTCAATGAACTAACATCATAATTTGATACTATTATATACCTTGATGCAAGTACTAAGTCGAGGATTCTTTGTTACTCTACGAAAAATTATTCTGCTACGAGTATGACACATACAGTTGAGAGTGAATGAATGAATTGTTGATTCATTCATATACATACATCATATAGACTTTGCAAACACTATAAAAAATCAATGGAGACTTCAAGAAAGTGATTGATAAGAGATTTAAAAAAAGAACTTAGCCATTCATCATAAATAACTGAATATTGACATGTCAATTAATGACAAATAGATCTATGAATGAAAAAGATAGGTAATTAATACTTTTGAACTGATATATGAATAAAAACGAAGTCATTCTGAATTGTTTTCTAGCTGTCGGCAGTTTACTGCAGTATGATGCCAACATGGAGACTATTTTTACTTTTAGTCAAGAAATGGATGAAGTATTCCGAAAAAAGATAAATGCTGATTTGAAGCAATCTAATGCTAAATTGTGTATCCATTAGAGATAATACTAGACTAGCCTGACTTTCAGGCATGAATAAAACTGGTATGAAGCCAATCAGAACACTCGAATCTTAACATGATGCATATATTCAATTTCTTTTCATGTCTGATGTCACTAACAAATTTGATCCACTTTTGACAATAGGTAATCATCGTTTGTCATTTTTATTTGATGGTCATGGTAATGAATAAATATGTATTCATGTAGAATTTTCACTTTGATAAAATCTTCAATTAATGTTTTATCATTAATTCTATATGACATTGCATAATCAAATTGACGAAGATGTGAAACATATTCATTTAATATTGATCCAAAAATTAAAATAGATTTCAAATCATCAATAATAAATCCAATCCAATATTCTAATAATGTAAATTAAGTTAATTGAGGATATGATAGTTTACTTCTAGAATGATGACAAGCTAAAATAGAAATACATTCTGAGTTAGATCATTTAAATATTTTCTATGAGAATAAGATAATACGATGGATCTTCTTGGAAAAAAACCCGTTATTCTAAATATTTTACATACAAAGTATTCTTGATTTACACAATTGAATAATCAGGATTTGTAGATTTGGAACAAATTCATCAAGCAATACATGTATAAATCATCAATTGTTTGTAAAATACGATGAATATTTTGAAGATTATTATGAGATATCAATGATTTTCTTAATATAAGTCCA